CGGTACTGTGCGGAGCTGGTTAGCTTGTCGCGGTTGTCGAACGTCAGCGCGACCGTCGCGGCTTTCACGTTCTCCTGTCCCGCTTTGTAGATCAGGTCCGTCACCGCGCCGACGCGCATGTCCGCGAACGCGCGGTAGCCCAGACAGAAGCAGATCGCGTCGAACAGGTTCGACTTGCCGCTGCCGTTTTCGCCGATCACCGCGGTCAAAAACGGGTCCACGGGCCGCAGCGCCACCGCTTCGCGGTAGCTCTTGAAGCCGCTGATCTCGATCGCCTCGAGCTTCATGCCGCGGCGTTTATCGCGCAAAAATTATTGCATTAAATGGACGGCGAAAAGTGCCGCGCGCTCACAAAAACCTGGACAGCCATTTGAAGCCGTCGTTGTAGCCCATGCGTCGCGACACGCTGCACATGAACAGCTCCACCGGGCGCGTTGCGCTCCGCGATTTGTAGTCTTTGCCGTATGTCAAGTGCTCTGGCAAGCCGAGTGAGGCGCGCAGCTCCTGCTCCGAAGCCGCGTTCGGCTTGTCGATCTTGTTGCCCAGCACGCAAATCGGCGTCTTCACCAATTCGTCGCTCGCCAGCAACAAGTTCAGCTCCTCCGCGGCCTCCTCGAAACGTGTGCGGTCCGCCGCGTCCACCACGAAAATGATGCCGTCCACCGTCGCTAGGTAGTCTTTCCAGATGCGCCGTGCCGTCTCGTGCCCGCCCAGGTCGAACGTCTGGAAGTTGATGCCCTCGATCACCAACTCTTCCGAGTGCGGGTGCACCGTGGGCACGTGCATCGACAAGCGGTCGTCCTTCAAGACGTTCAACAGGGTCGTCTTGCCTGCGTTGTCAAGCCCGAGAAACACAATTCGCCCTTTCTTGTACGCAAGACCCAGTCTGTTCAACACTCCCCAAAACCACGAAAACATAAACTGATCTGAACTGCTTCGACGCGAGAGATATATTAGATTATTAATATTACGCCGATATTAGCTTCGGCGAGCGAATTTGCCGCTAATCCACCACGTTCATGCAGTTGCAAAAAATCAAGTTGCTCAAAAAGTTCCCGCGACTGCGCAGCTGCGACGCGTGCGCGTGCACGCGCGCCGCGAGCGGCACCGCCTGCTCGATGCGCGGCACGAAGTGCAGCGCGCGCACGTCCACCAGCGCGAGCAGCCGCTGCAGCGGCTCGCAAATGTCCGCGCACACGTCGTAGTCGTTGTGCGAACTTGTGCGCGACGAGCTGAACACGGTGCGCTTTGTGCGGCGCTTGCGCAGCAGCGCGTGCGCGTGCGAGACCGGGATGATCTCGTCGCGCTCCGCGTGCTGCACCGCCAGCGGCACGTGTCGCAACTTCTGCAGCGCCGCCTGCGTGTTCCAAAAGTCGGACACTGCGTACGCCGACACGTACGGCACGTAGTCGTCGATCAGGCTGCGGATGCTCTTGAACGGGCTGTGCAGAAACATGCCGCCCACCACGACGCCCGCTTCCGCGAGCGTCGCGGCCAGCCGCGCGCACGGCCCCGTCCCGATGCTGCGGCCCATCAGCACGATGTTCCGCGGCGACTGCGTCAGCACGTACAGAAAGTCGAACACCGCGCTCGCGAACGCGTCTAGCTTTTGCGGCGAGCAAGAGCGGGTCTTGCAGATCCCGTAGCCGGGGTACTCGAACGCAACCACGTGGTGCCGGCCGACCTGTGCCATGAACTGCAGTTCCTCGCTGATCTCGCCGAGGTCGCAGCTGTTCGCGTGGAAGTACAGCACGAAGATTTTGCTCGGCTGCTCCGCGTACGCCACGGAACACGGAATGAACTCGCTGTTCGACTCAAGTTCGCGCAAAAAGAAGCTCTCGCACTCACTCTCGCTGCGGACCTTCGCGCGGCTGAACGCCTCCGGCACCCAAATCAGCCCCGGCAAGCTTTCGGCATCGTACGAGCACTCCACTCGCGGGAACAGGATCGAGTTCAGCAAGTACGCCATCGCGCATTCGTCTGCGAGCTAGCGCCGCACCAATTTGATTGCGCTGAATCTTAATTTCCGAGGGTGCCCCACACCTAAAATGGGCGCAGTCGGGGGTAATTTTGCGCCGTCGGAAACTTGGAGCGCGGCAGCGTCGGCATCGCAAGCGCTTTGGTCTTGTACCTGCGTTCGTCCGCGGAGCGCCAGTACTGCGCGCAGATCTGCAGTGCGAAGCGCAAGCAGCCCGCCGTTTCCGCAATCGCGAGCAAGTTCTGCAAGTTTGCGGATTTCAGGTTGCCGTAGCGCATGAAGCACTCCGAGCGCAACGCCGGATAGTAGCGAAAAATTTTGCTAATCCGCCGCTTCAAGTGCCGCCGGCCGTCTTCACCCAGCCGGATGTCGTAGCCGTGGTTCAAAATGTATTCGGTCACTGGCGCCTGGTTGAACTGTTTGACCAAACACTTCTCGGTCCGCGGAATGTCCTGTAGTTGTGCCTCGCTGTGCAGGTCTTCGATGGTGAGCGTTTCTTTGGCCGCCACTTCATCCGGCGCGTAGTTCGCGGCAGAAGTCGTTTCGCCGAGCGGCGCGAACGCGACCCCGCTCTCGCTCGCAGCGCAGCTGTCTGTGACACACGGCTCGCTGCTTTGGTCGGGCCGCCGCAATAACAGCGCTTGTTGGTACCAAAAGCTGTAGTCGGACTTCAGCAGCGTTTCGTCGAACTTGCCCGCCTGCGCGCCGTGCGGCGTGAAGCTGTGATTGAAGCAGTGAACGTTCTCGACGTTCGGCGCCGCTGCAGGTTGGCAGTGCTCGCCTGCGAGACTGTGTGGCGGTAATCCCCGCGCTGGCGCGAGTAACTTCTCGTCCGCGTCGCGCGATTGACGGCGCAAAATGTGCTCGGACGAAAAAGCCAGTCTCATTTTTCTGCCGTTCATATCACACGCGTGCGCTCGAAATGCGATCCGCAGAGCACGAGCCCCTGCTCAGCACTCAGTGGTCGGAGCTGTTGGCGTACAAGCTGCTGCTCGAGCCGCCGTCCGCAAACGTGGGCAGGGCCTTTCTGTGCGACTACCTTTACGACGCGGTCTGCAACAAAACGTTTCACCACATCGACGAGGTTCAGTACAACGTTCGAGAGACTAACTCGCACTGCAGCGAGTTGCGCTTCGCCATCAAACGGCTGCGCGAGAAACTCGTGAGTCAGAAACGCTCCGATTCGAACTGCAGCACCGACTCAGCAGACGACGATGATAGAAACGTCGTTGATGAGATCGAGCTGCTCGAATTAGAGCTGCAGCAATCCGAAGAAAACGTCAAACTCTTCGAAGCAGAGGCCGAAAAGCTAGTCGAGGAGCTGCGAGCGCTGCAGTCGAGCGACGTCAAGTTCCGGTGGAGCGAAGCGAAACTGCCTTTGCAGCTTGACGGCGTAACGCACGGCGCGAGTACTCAAGAAGCGGAGCGGTCGAACTACGGGCTGCCCGAAAAAGCGGTGGAACAACAAGCGGTCACGCACTGGGTTAAGAAGCAGGACATCGATGAAGTGGTGTTGAAAGTGTACGACATTCTGGGCTCGCGCGCAAAGCGCCGCTCGCGCCACTCCTGCGACACAGTGTTGCAGGAGCGCGCGCCGCTCAAGGACTTAATGAAGCGTCCTTACGAGAAAACCGGGCTGATGCCCGAGCTCGAGGAGATTGTCGTGAAGCAGAAGGGCGCCGAAGGCGAGGACGTGTACCAGATCGGCTTTGTCTCTCCGTATTCGGTTAAAAAGTGCGTGAGTAAGTGGGTCAAGCTGCTCGTGAGCAAAGTGAACGCGCGCTACGACCCAGCGTTCTTGTACAGTAACTTCCGTCGTATCGCGCTGACACTCTCCGAGCTCGCAAGCCACGGCGTGCACCACCTGCACATCAAGCCGTCGAACCTAATCGTTTCGCCGTGTGGCGTCTACCTTCTGCTCACGGATTTCATCAGCACTAACTACATGGTCGACTACTACAGGCGCATCAACAACATCTACGACCCGTACATGGCGCCGGAGTTGTTGCGCGCAATCCAGGACCGCGACCGAACGTTCGCGCTCGACTTTTTGAAGTGCGACCTGTTCTCACTGGGTATGTGCTTGTTGCACGTGCTGCTGCTTAGCGAGATTGGCGACGATGTGCACCGCAACCGCCACAAGCTCGAGAGCGTCGTCGCGAGCACGAGTTCCGGCAACTACGACCTTGACGAGCTGTTGGTGAGTCTGACGCAGTGGAAGGCGTCTAGCCGCTACTACACGGCGACTTCAGATTTGTTCACCGTTAGGGAAACCGTGAACGCCGTGCGCAACTTTTTTTCCTGGCTGACGGGCTAGTAGATATATTTGTGAAAAATTAGATGGCGCGCAGCGAATGCGCTTAATCGATCCTAGCGCATTGCAGGCGGCAGCCTCCGGATTTGCACTGCGATGTTGGCAAGCGGAGCAGCACAGTTAGGTGCCATCACGCAACCTGAGCAGCTGCCATTTAGCGCGTTCCGTGACACGTTCGATGCCGCCGACGCTGAGTCGCAGCTCGCGATGATCGCGAATGCGCGCTCGGAGTTCGCGACACAGTCGGAGCTTCGCGAGTTTCTGGCGTGCAGCGCAGCCGACGGCTCGTCTGTTCCGCAGAGTCTGTTGCGGCTGCTGTGCTTGAGCCGGTTGGCCATGCGCTCAGCAGCGGACCTGAAGCCGTTCCAAGACCTGCAGCTGCTGTTTGAGTTCTTGAACAACGACTTCAAGCCGCCGCTGCTTGCAGCAACGTTCGAGCAGTTCGTCGCCGCGCGCGCGAGCTTGCGGTCTGCGTTTTTGCGGAAATTCACGGAAAAGGGCTTCACGGTGGCCAGCGGGTGCAGAACCATCGGCGTGCTGTGCAACTATTTGGAGTGCGACTTTGCGTTTGCGTGGATCAGCGCTGCGTTTCTGCGCGCGTGCGAGACCGGCGACGCGCGCTACGCGCAAAACATGGCGCCAACTGTGGCGCGGGTGCTCGCGCACTTCGCCGCCTACCCGCACTGTCGCGAACAGGTGGCTGCCTTTTTGACGAGCGTGGTCCGCACGGCGGCGCTGTCGGAGAGCGTGGAGCTGATCGTGCTGTGTCTGCGTGAAGTGTTTAGCACCTCAAACGAGCACTTGATCTGCGCCCTGCAAAACTACGGCACTGCGCTGGTGTTCGAGTTTCTGCGCGTCGCAAATCCGCAGGTGCGCTTGAACGCCGTGAAGTTGTTCGGCGCGCTGTACCTTCACCTGGGTGTCACCGAAGACATTTCGTTGTACGAGGTCGAAGCGAACCGCAAAATCTGCGCTTTGCACGACATGCTCAAGGACCCAGACGCAGACGTGCAAGAGGCGGCGGTGTGCACGCTGTTCAGCGCACTGGCGCGCTTTCCGGAGCTGTTCGACAGCGACGTGCTCACCGAATTGTTCAGCACAGTCTACAGCAGCGTCTTTGCCGCGGCGGCGAGCGCGAAGGCGCGCGTCGCGTTCCTGAAGTGTCTCGCAGAGTCGCCGCTCGCGAACGGGTTTGCGAGCGTAGCGGAGCAGGCATACGCGAAAAGCACGGCGCTGCTGCTCGACGTGAACGCGGAAGTGCGGTTGCAGTGCGCGCAGCTGTGCCGCAAGCTGATCTGCGCCTCGCACAGACACTTGTTGAACCCGATGTTGCTGTTCGAGGCTTTTCTCACAGAGTGTTTGCTGCAAGACGCTTATAGCGGCCAGTCTGGCGAGGTTTGCGCAGTGGAGGCGGATTTGATCTACATGACGATTATCGACAACAGCTTGCCGCTGCTGGAGCAAGTAGGCAGGTTCGTGGAGCTGTGCAAGACGCATCCTTTGCTGTTGCCGCAGCTGTTTTCGCGCCGCGCAATTCGGCGCGCCGACGTGGTGGTTGCCGGCGCACTCGCGATGGAGGCGTTTGCGCAGCTCGGCTTGGTCGGCGACGCGCGCGAACGCGACAGATTGGCGGCTCCGGACTTGAGTCTCGCTCTGTTGAACGTGGCATGCACGATATGTGAGGCGAGCAACATGAAAGACGCGAGCAAGAAGCTCGCGCGGAAGGTGATTTTGAAAGCCGTTGACGAGCAGTGCCTGCTTTCAGGTTTAGAGCGCAGCGCCGGCGGCACGGACGTGGTGAGCGAGCTGCTACTGCGCTTCCTACTTGCCAGCGCCAACTTTTCGAGCGACCGCCTGCGCTGCGCGGTGGAAGCGCTGATGGAGAAAGTAGAGGACCCGCGCAGCGCGCTGTGGAAGCTCGGCGTAGAGTTTCTGCATCACTGCGGCGTCGTTGGCGGCCCGAGCCGCGCGCCGCGCGACCACTTGCTCATCAGCAACTTAGCCGGCGCCTGCGAAATCGCGTTCTCGCACGTGTCGAAACATCTGCGGAGTTGCGCGGACGGCGGCAGCTTTTCGAGCGTGAAGGGTGTCACCGTGGCCTTTCAACAGAAGCTCGGGCTCGAGGACGCGTGGTTTCTCGTGAGCTTCTTGACGTCGGTCGCGGACCTCGTGTCGCGTAACGCGGAGATGCGCTCGGCGCTGGCCGTGTTCGACGGGTTGGCAGACGTGCAAAGCGGCTTGTTCCCCGAGCTGCTGCGCGCATACGTCGCGTTTGTGGAAAAAGCGTACAAGCTCGGGTTCGCGATGGAAACTGACGTCAGTCTAGATGCGTGGTTTGCCGCAGTCGGCGAAGGCCTGCTGCAGCTGTACCGCGTCTGTCTGCTGCGCGCAAGTGGAGGAACCGCCACGCACACGCGGGCGGTTTGCGCCGTGCACCGAGCAGTGTTTGCGAACACGGAGTTCGCGGCGAGCTCGGCGCGAATAGTCGGCGCAGCCCTGCACGCCTTCGTGCGTGCCGCAGCGAGCTGCGGCGCCGCGGCAGAAGACGCGGAGCTGCTGCTGGCGAAACTGCGAAACTGCAACGACTTCCTGCGTGAGTTGTCGGTGGAGCTGCAGTGCAAAACGAAGCACGGGCTGCTGCAGTCGCTGCTCGACTGCTTGGAGTGGGTGCCGCAGCTCGCCAGCCGCTGCGACGACGCGGTCATCGCGGCGCTCTTCGCAGAACTCGTTTATTGCGAGAGGCAGTTGCGCGACCGGTTTGCTGCAGCCGCGGGCGCGTGCGGCGGAGAGGCACTGACGGCAGTCGCGGATTCTCCGACAACCGGAATGGTGACCAAGAGCAAGCTCGCGAAAGTGCTGAGCAAGCGCAGAGTCGCGGGGGACGCCGGAGCCGGCGCGGCACTGGACTTCGCTCCGCTGAGCGCGGCGTTTCGCGAAGCGCTCGGCGCGCTGCAGAACGCGCTCGGCGGAGACCTTTCTGGCGCCGCCGCGCAGTACGCGCAGCGCTTCGAGGAAGCGCTGCACCGATTCGCGGGCGCGGCTACTTCGCCGCGCACTTCTGAAGCTTCTTGTTCAGGTCCTCCGTGACGGACACGTGACAGCGCCGCGTGCAGTTGCTGTTGCGCAGCTCTTCGAGGCAAGCGCAGTCGTTGTAGCAAAAGTCTTGGAACTCGTTGAAGTCCTCGAAGTCGCAGCGCTTCACGCACATGTCCCAGTGCCGTTTGACGCGCTCTTCGGCGCTGAGTAGGTTTTCGGCGTCGGCGTTGAGGGTGAGGCCCATTTTGTCGTTGCTGATTTTGTCGACGCCCCAGTTGAAGACGTCGCCGAGCAGCTTGGTGGTGCTTTCGGTGATGTCCACGAAGTCAGCTTTCTCCTGCAGTTTGTAGCAAGAGGCGCAGATGAGCACAAAGAATGCGAGCCGCACAGAGTACATCGCGGCCGAGAGGCGCGTGCGCTCGAGCGAGACGAACGGCTTGAACGAGTCGATGACGTTCTTGTTCTCGTCGTACAGGTTCGGGAACAGCCAGAACTCGACGCCGACGAACCAGAGCAGCACGAACAGGACCAGCCGCAACACCGTGATGCCGAGCAGAGCGACGCACAGGCAGTAGAGCGCGTACCACGCGAGGTACTTCATGCTGAACGGCCACGCCGGAAACAAACACAGCAGCATCACCGTGAGCAGCAGCCCGCCGCAGATCAGCAGGTAGGTGCGCCGGTTGGTCAGGTAGTCGGGGTTCACGATGAAGAAGCGCATCTCGCCCGCGGGCACCACGTGCGTGCGCACCAGCCGCTTCGGGAAGTCCGGCGCGTCGCGCTCGTCTTGCTCCAGTCCCGACTGGTCGAGGTTTTCCGCGAGCGGCTGGTGCTTGCCGAGCGCCAGCACGCCGTGCGCAATCGCGTACTTCTGCGTCGCCGTGAGCCACACGCTCGCGGAGTCGCCTTCGCTCAGCGGGCCCTCTGCACACTGTTCGCACAGCGCGCGCTTGTGCTTCTCAATGTACTGAATGGCGTCTGTGTCGCGAAAGTACTGGCAGTAGCGCTCGCCGAGCAGCATCGCGTCGTACAGCTGCACGTTTTTGACCAGAGCGTCGACTGCGTGGCGCGCGCCGCCACTTACGAACAAAGGCTTCGGTAGGCATGCGCGTTCCTGTTGGGCAGCAAAGCAGCTTCGCGACTTCGAATTGATCCAGTGTAAATATTTAGGGGATAATATTGCGCAGTTGGCGGAAAAGCTCGGCAGCGTAGTCAGATGGGCGAGTCGTGCGCGCCGACGCCGGCGGAGATCGCGCGAAAAATTCGCGCCGACAAGAGCAGACTGTTGCAGCCTGCCGCCGCGCCGGCGCCCGCGGCGGCGGCGGCGGTAGCGCGCATCTGCGTGTTTTCAGATGTGTCGGACTTGGACTCTGAGACGGAGCGCTGTCTGGGACTGCCTGCGCGCACACCGGACAGCGCGGCGGTTCGCGCGCGCAAATCGGACCCGGCCGCCGCGCGGCTGAGCGCCGAGGAGCCGGACTTCGCGGCGGCGGTCGAAAGCACGCAGAAGATTATTGAAGAACTGCGCATCTCGAGCGACCCCGCGTGGTCAGAGGACGAGGCGCTGCCAGCCGCGCCGCGAGGCGCGGCACAGCGCGAATCGGCCGAAACCGGCTTGCTGCAGGCGGAGTTTGCGCAGCAGGAGTACGGAATCGACATCTAGGCTACTCGGCAGCGCAGCTGTCGCGCTCCGCGCCGAGCAGCACGTCGAAGCGCCCGGGGCGCGTGGCCGCGGCGTCGAGTTCCGCGACGCGGACGCTTGACACCGCGACGTACGTCGTGTTTGCGTTTTTGGTTTTTGTGAGCCCGTCGAGCTGCGTGAGCAGCGTGGTGCGCAGTCGGTGCATCGTGGCGTGGCTCGCGCCGCGCGCGAGGAGGAGGTCGGCGTCGCGGATCCACTTCACCACCGGCAGCGCGGCGGCTTCGGCGGCGAGCGCGCGCTTGAGCTTCGCCTCGCCCTCGCCGACGTAGTTGCACAGAAAGCTCGCTGCGTCAATGACGTGCGTCGTGACGGCCGCGCCGTTCGAGCGCAGCCCGGTCATCACTTCAAAAGGGTTGCAGCCGCGCGGCGCGTAGATCAGCGCGTTGCGCGGCGCCGCGGGCGCAGCCAGCAGTTCGCGCAGCCGCGCGCGCAGCGGCGACTCAAGCGCCGCGCGCACAGGCGAGCGCACAGGCGAGCGCACAGGCGAGCGCACAGGCGAGCGCACAGGCGGCAGCGGCAGTGCGGCGCGCTGCGCGGCGCAGCGGTAGACAAGCTCGCGCCGCGCGCCGCGTTCGAGGAACCAGAGGAACTGCGCAGGCGGCAGTGCGGCTAGCGCGCCGAGCGCCGGCGCGAGCGCCGCGCTGCAGAAGAAGCTGAGCAGCGCGAGCACGTCAGCTTCGCCGAAGAAGCGGCGCGCGTGGTTCGCCAGCAAGGCTTTTGCGATTTGCGCGAGCTCCGGTTGTTCAGCGGCCGAGGCGCGCAGCAGCTGCGCAACGTCAACTTTAGCGACGCGCGCTTCGGCGCAGAACGGCAGCAGCGCTGCGGCGAGCCGTCCCACGACGTAGACGGTCGCGTGGCGCCGCGTGCGGTCCGCCTCGAAGTCCGAAAGCGCTGCGTCTAGCTCGGCGCTCGAGAACACGCACGTGGCGCCGGCGCCGTGCGCGCCGCGGCCGCCGCAGAAGAGAAGCTCGGCTGCCCGGCGCGTCAGCGCGCGCGGAACCAGCAGAACCTCGTAGCTTTTGAAACGGTCGAACAGGTGCCGCGTGGTGACGCGGTACGTCTCGAGCAGCATCGCCGTCTCGAGCGCGCCGCGGAGCCGGTGCTTTTAAGAATTATCCGCGCCGTTTAATTCGTACAGGTATTTCATAAACTCTTGCTCTTCCAGCGTCAACTCGGCGTCGAAGTCGCCGCTTTTGCCGGCCGCCGCGCCCGGCGGCGCCGCGGCGGGGCGCGGCGCGCCCGCCGCGAGCGGCGCGACGTCGTGCAGCGAGAGCGCGCCTTCGGCGCCGACGCGCAGCTCGCCGAGCGAGATCAGCCGCGCGATCACTTTCTTGGCTTTATAGAGCGCCTTCGGGTCTGCGTTTGCGTGCTTCTCTGCGAAGTGCGTGGCCACGACGCGCGGCGTCAGCGGCTGCGCGGCGGCGGCGGCGCCGGGCGTTTTGCCAGAGACGCAGTTCTCGACGGCGCGCTTGATGATGTTGAACTCGTCAATGTCGATCAAGAACTCCACGTTCTGCTCCGCGGTGTCCGGTTCCTGCTCGTCTTCGCTGACTTTCTCGTTGACCGCGACCGTCTCCGTCGCGGTCTTGAACAGACTCGAGCGGAACAGGTCGATTGCGCACTCCGCGTGGAACTGCGTCACCCACACGCTGAAGTGCAGCTTCGCAATGGCCTCGGCAATGCGCATCGTGCTTTCGAGTTGCCGCGTGGTCAGCCGACTCTGGTTCCGCGCGTTGCTCAGCGCCGTGCGCTGGCGCACGTTCACGAAGTTGTGCAGCAAGACCTGCTTCGCCTCCGGCGTCAGCCGCGGGTTGAACGCAGACGCCACGGCGATGTAAAACTTGAAGTCGGCTTCGTCGCGCAGATACTCGTTGGCGGGCAGCACGTTGTCGTGCCGCGCCAGCTTGACGATGTGCGCGGCGATCGCTGCGTCTTCTTCGACTTTGTTGGCGTCCAGCATCACGAAGACCAGATCGAAGCGACTCAGCAACGCCGGACTCAGCGCGAGGTTCTCGCGCAAAGTGCGCGCGGTGTTGTAGCGGCCTTCCGCGGGGCTGCACGCGGCGAGCACGCGCGCGCGCGCGTTCATCGTCGCGTGGATAGCGGCTTTGGCTATCGAGATCGTCTGCTGCTCCATCGCTTCGTGGATCGCGACGCGGTCCTTCACGTTCATCTTGTCGAACTCGTCTATGCAGCAGATGCCGCCGTCTGCGAGGATCAGCGCGCCGGCTTCGATCACGCTCTCGCCGGTTTCGCGGTCTTTGTGCACGCTCGCGGTCAGCCCCGCCGCGGTGCTGCTCTTGCCGTTCGCGTAGACCACGAGGTCCGCGAACGACTCGACCCACTTCAGCAGCTGCGACTTCGCCGTGCCCGGGTCGCCGACCAGGCAGATGTTGATGTCGCCGCGCAGCCGAATGTTGTCTTGCGCCGTGTACTTCTCGACGCCGGAGACCAACAGACACAAAATGCCCTTTTTGCACGCTTCGCAGCCGTACACGTGCGGCGCGGTGAACTCGGCCAGCTGGTCGAGCAGGTTGTAGCAGGAGCACAGCTTGCGGAAACGGCTGACGGTGCCGTGGTCGAGGTTCAGCGACTGGATAAACGGGTGCTGCAACAGCTTCCAAAAGTTCTGCGCCTCGACCTCCGCGGCGCTGAGCTGCGAGACCTCTCGCTGCAGCAGCGATTGCGTTTCCGGCGGCGGCGGCGCGTTCTGGAACAGCGCGGCGAGCAAGTTCGCTTCGGCGCTGCGGCTGTAGGAAGCGCGCTTCGCGGAGAAAGCGCTGTTGACCACCTGCACGTTCTGTGCGACGAACACCAGCTTGTAGGTCAACTCGCGCACGCCGAGGCGCGAGATGCCGTGCAGCCCCTCCTGCATCGCGCCGAGCTCGTTGTTCATCTCTTTCGTTTTCTCGCGGTTCACCGAGTGCGGCAAGCTGTTCGCTTGGATCAGCGCGGCGATGTCCGGCACGGCGATGAGGTAGCCCGTGAACCGCACCGTTTCGCCGGAGCGACACTTGTTCACAAAAGGTCCGCGCACGACGACGTGCATCGACTGCGGCACGGCGTGCGACTCTTCCCGGTCCTCCGGCGGCTGCTGCACGCGCAGCCGCTGCCACTCGATGAGCCGACACGTTTCCTGCTGCAGCGCCCAGCGCGTGCGGTTCGCGCACTGCCCGTTGCCGCACTTGATCGGGTACGTGTAGCGGAACTGCTGCCGCACGTCTGCGTTCAGAAAGCCGCAGACCTCGCACTTGTAACTCGCCGAGAGCAGCTCCGGGCGCACCTCGGTGGAACGCGTGACCACGGCGTGCAGCGACACGAGTTGGTTGATGTCGTCGCTCCGCAGACTTTTCAGCGAACGCGCCGTGATGGAGTTTAGCGGCACGATGCTCAGCGCCAGCGCGTTGTTGCGGATCGTTTCGAAGAGCACGAGCCGTTCGTGCTCGACCGCGAACTCGCGCGCGACGTAGTCGATGCAGCGCAAAAACGCGGCCAGCAACTCGGCCTCGAGCTGCGCGTAGAACAGACTCAGGAAGTGAGCCGCGTCGTTGAACGGCGACGCCTCGGGAGCCGGCGGAATGACGCCCGCCTGACTGTGCTGCGCGTCCCAGTCGGTTGCGCGCGCGGCCGCCGTGTAGTCGGCGAAGCCGAGGACGTCGAGCGTGACGTAGCCCTCCGCCAGAGCGGCGCCACAGAGGAGGTCGTAGATTACGGCGCTCACGAGTTCGCCGTTGAACTCGCGCCGCGCGCCACCGCTGAGCAGAAACGCGTCGAGTTCCTTTGCAAAGTACGCGCGCCAGACCGAGGGCACGTCGTGGTTCTCATGACGCAGCAGCTCCTCAATCCAGTTACTCGAAAGGGCTAGCAATGCCGCGAGCGCACCTACTGTCAACGCTCATCAGGAAGACAGACCCCAGCTGGTGCCGACGCAAGCTCCGAGCTGCTAATGAGCAAAGAAAATGAATATTCGACAAATCATTAGACAACTTGCCGAGGGCGCGGCGAACTGCCACACGCTCGTGATTTAGACGCAGAACTCTTGCGCTGCGCGAAACTTCTGGGCGGGCAGCGTTTGCGCGAGGCCCAGCCGCTCCGTCAGCGGGAAGCTGAAGACGTGCGCCGCCAGGTTGCCGGCGGAAAGCAGCGCGGAGAGCACGAACAGGTTGAAGCTTTGCCCGACTTTGCACTGGCTCAGAGTCGTGCTTTGGTCGACGCACACCCGCCGGCCGTGGAGATGCGTGTAGACGGCGAGCACGACCAGGCTGCTCAGCAAAGACGCGGCGGCGAACAGAGTGCTGGCGCCTTCGTTGAAGCTGAGCAGCTGGTAGTTCAGCGTCTTGTTGCCGCGCACGCGCAGCTGCAGCGCTTGCTGCAGCCGCGCGACGGGCCGGTGCCACAGGCACTTCACGGCCGCGAAGTAGTAGCGCTGCGCGGTTTCGGCGCTGAGCCACTTCGGCGCGCAGTAAGCGCGCCGCGCTGGGCCGTCGCCCAGACTGATTTGCCGCCGCTCCGCGTCCGCCGCGGCGAGCGTGTCGCAGCCTGCTTTGCGCCGCCGCGCGAGGACCAGGTCGCAGACGCCGGGGTACTGCTCAACGGCTTGCAGCGCGTTGAACGCGCTGACCGCTTCGCGGCGGCCCGTGTCCGTGACTGCGTGGAACGCGACGAGCAGCCACTCGCACGTGAGCAGCAACAACGCGAGCACTAAGAACGTTTTGCAGACGACGCCCACCACGTGCAGCTGGCCGATCTGCTCGCAGTGCACCCCACTGACGGTCGGCCCGTAGAGCAACGTGAACAGCTTGCTGCGCTCCGAGTGCTTGCTGCGGGCGCTCTGCACGTCCACGGTAACTTGGCCCGCTGCGTTTGTTTCGAACTGCGCCGCGTGGAACGTGCAGGTGGCCGCGAACAGCGGGCTCTCGCGGTTCAACAGCGCCGCGAACGGCGTCGGCTGCGCCACGAAGGTCGACTGCACGCTGCTCGAGAAGCTGGTTTTCGTGGTTTGCAGCCCACTCAGCGAGACGCGCGTGAGACTTTCGCCGCTCTCGTCTTCGTAGACCGTGTACTGCCACGCATTGCCGTTCAGACTCGAAATCAGCAGCAACGCGAGCGCGGGCAGCAGCGCGAACGCGCGCAGGCTGTTGAACCGCGTGACTGGGTGCATCTTCTTCAGTCGGCCCAGCAGCGCAGAAGCCTCGTGCTTCGTTTTCGAAGCGCGGGAAGGCACGATGTCGCACAGCTCCATGCAGTTGCTCTCGGCTACGCACACGCAGTTCTCAAGGTCGTAGCACTTGATCTCTTGCACTTCCGCTGAGCGCATCTTCGCGAAGTTGACTTCGCAACTCGCGTCGCAATTCGCGTCGCAATTCGCGTCGCAACTCGCGCCGCAACTCGCGCCACGCGTCGCATCGCAAGTCGCACTGCAAGTTGCGCTGCAACTCGCGCTGCAACTCGCGCCACGCGTCGCATCGCAAGTCGCATCGCAAGTCGCACTGCAAGTTGCGCCGCAACTCGCGCCGCAAGTCGCGCCGCAAGTCGCGCCGCAAGTCGCGTCGTAGGAGAAGCCGCGCGCGGGCTCGACCAGCGGCGTGCTTGCTTCCTGCGACTCGTCCGCCGCGCGCGCAGCGAGACTCGGGGGCAGCAACTCGCTCTCGGCGAACATCTCCGCTTCGCAGTTGCTGCCCGATTCTGCAAGGCTCACCGTTTCTCCCGCGCACGCCTCGATCGGCGCGCTTTGGCGCTGCGTCATAGCCAACGGCGAACACAGTTCTTGCCCGGCGTTCTCCGGCGCCAGCAGCGGCACCGCTGCTGTCTGCGCTAAGTGAGCGGCAGCATCGCGCTGTGCAGCGTCTTGCGCTGCGCGCGCCGAGCCGCAAGTGTTCTGCGTCACCGCCGTCGCAACAGTCGGTGAGCGCGCTGCCTCGCAGCCCGCGTCTCGGTAGCACGCCGGCGAAGTCTGCCCCGCGCTGGCTGCGGAGCAGTCCTCGCACTGCGAATGCTCGAGCGGTTGCACAGCCGTCGGCTCGGTAGTCGGCTCGGTAGTCGCGCCGGGCAGCGCCGCACAGCGCGGAGCGCTGCCGCAAGCGTCTAGTTGCTGACTGTCGGCCCCGTCGCACAGCTCCGCACTCGCGCAGGCTTTGGTGGATGCTCGCTTTTTTTTAGCCATGCCGCTCGTTCGTGCGCAACAATCGATTAGATCTGAAATTCGAAAGCGATTGATCAAATCGTAATTTTTTATCATTTACTAAAAGTCGCGTATGCTTACAGTTTCTCGCCTGTTCAGGCCGCCTCACGAAAAGCGAGATTAGTGCAATTCGGTTTGTCGCCGCACGCTTCTCGCTGACCTTGCTCGCTTGCCGGAATCTCGTTCGCTTTGCCGCTATCTAGCGCTGACGCAGTGATGTGGCGCGGCGACCGGCTCGACCGCTTTGCCGCGCCGAGCGCGGAGCCGAGCGCGCCGCCCAAAGCGGGACTCTCGCGCTACGTGGTGAACGGCTTGTGTGACCGCGTCTTGGCGCTGCTGGAGGCGGAGTGTCGCAGCGTAGCCGCACGCAGCGGGGCGTCTGTTGGCGCGCAGGACTGCGAGACGCTCCGCGACGCGCCGTTGTTCTGTCCGCTGCTCCAACACGTCGTGCCCTCGCCGCTCTTCTGCTACTTGCACCCGACGCTGCTCGACCGCGCGCTGTACCGCTACAAGTGCGAGCTGTTCAGCTTTGCCTCGAGCCACTCGGCTGCCTTCCCGCTGAGCGGCACGGCACAGCTGCCTGGCGTGGAAGTCAACAGCGACTGCGATTGGGCGTCTGTGCTGTTGCTCTCGCTCGTGCACGTTGCGCCCGAGTCGGTCCGCGCGTTGGCGAGCCACCGCTGCAACCACGAAAACTGCTGGAAGTGCTTCGCGTCCTACACGCTCGAAAACTACATCCGCAGCATCCAGTGGCGCGACTTCACGCCAGTCAATGGCTTGAAATTCAACGAGGTCGTGTCTTTCTACCAGACCCCCGAGTTCAGCTTGCAGCCCTTCGCGGTCTGCCCGCGCGCGCTGTTGAGCAAGGCGTTGCTGCAAAGGTGCGGCCGGCGGTTTCGCTCAGCTTTCAAAAGTTTGCATCAAAACGAGGTGCCGAGCCCGCGCGTCGCCGACGCGAGCCTGCAGAACGAGGTGATCTTGAGAGCCGCGTCCATCACGTGCGAGCAGCAATGGCTGAAAGCGCTCAGCAATTGCGAGACGGCCTTTGAGCAAGGTGTCGCGGAAGTGTTCGCTTCGCTCCTCAGCTTCCTGAACGTCGCGTTGGACGACTCAGCAGCTGCGCGCGGCGGCGGCGGCGCTGGCGCTGCGCCGCTCTTCTCCTCGCCCCCCGCGGCCAGAGACGCTGCTTCTGGCGCGGGTTCGACTGGTGCGACCGCAAGCGGCGCTGCGTCGGGCAACCCCACGTTCGTCAACATCGGCGGATACTGCACGGCGTCGAGCCTCGCACTTGCGCGAGACAGCAGCAAAACCGCCGCTGACTTCGCTGGCGCGAACGCGGGCGCTGCACTGCAGCCGACACGGGATGAGCGACTCTTTTCGTTCAACGTGCGGCGCGTCGTCAAGTGCCCGGTGAGCGGCAAGCGTTCGAGCAAGTTGCTGCGAGCTAGCTGCAAAGCACTGAGCTTCGCTGGCGCGGCTGGAACACCGGCGGAACCCTGCAGCGGAGCGCCCAACGCCGTTCCAGACGCTCCTCGAAAACTGGTGCGCGATTCGTTTGCGGTCGTGGCCGAGAGCCTTGCCGCAATCGCGGCGGACGCGAAGTCTTCCGCAGTGGAACTGAACTGCACGGAGCGAGGAGCGGAGCGACTCGACGCAGCGCAAGCGTTGCGCGAGCAACTCAGCGCGTTGCTTGATGCGGCTTTGGCGGCGTCTGGCTACGCGCCGCTGGACGTGGAGTCGAGTCTGCACGCCGCGTTCGACAATGTGAACAGCGTGCCGATGTGCTGCGAGCACTGCGTGAGCAAGAAACAGCTGCCGCACGTGTGCCTCAGCAACTGGGAAAGTCTGCCGCGCGTCATGTGCTTCTCTGCGCTAGAGATGCGGACACAATTTCGGCTCAATCAGAAAGCGTTCGAGCGCGTGCTGACGGAACTTGCGGCTGCGGCAAACGCTGCCGCGTTGCAGCCTGTCGCCAGGTCTGCATTTCTCGAGACGCTCACCGAGTTGGTGATTGCGAAGCGCTTGAAAATTCCGGAGCAACTGGCGGTGGCCCAAGCTGCGGATCGGTTCTACCGGCCGAGCGAGGGCGGACAGAAGTTTGAGCTAACGGGCGTTGTTGCGGTGGTCGACTTCGAGTGGACTCGGCACGCCCGAGCGTTTGTGCAGGAGGCCGT